GTTGAGTTCAAATATTTTCCCTTCTGATGAATACAGGGATGCCCTTTTTGTGCACACATGCGCACTTGTCGAAGTAGCCTGAGAAAATTTACTGACAAACTGAATAGATACTGAATGTAATTTATGCATGGGGAAATTGTCATATTAAATATTCTAAAAAGATATTATAAAGATATTATATAGCCTGTCTTTGTAAGTAGTTTTTCCTGTCTTGCATTTTAATTCGGTGTTTCACTCCAGAAATACCAAACACAAGCTTTAAAATGTTTGAATTCTCTTAGGTGTCCTAAAATAATTGCCAGTAATGTGGAAGGTGATGGTTGTAGAATAGAAGGTTAAAAATTCAAGCACAATAATTCTTTTCTATCACACAGTTCATAAATCCAAGGACTAAATTTTTTGCTTTGTTTTCAATAAGTATTCACCTCTGAATTCCATTGCTGTGTGACATGCTTTTTGTATAAAGATGACAGTATCAGTAAGTCAAATGCAGGTGAATATTCCAGCACTAGACTTAAGACTTTTTAATGTGTCCTTAGAAAAGAACAACCCACCCCTCTGCCCATTTTAATTGATCACTGGATGATCAATCAAGCCCTCAATATTTTCAAACTGAAAATGAAAACCCAGGAAAAATAAACTTTCTGCAGTTCATTCTGGTCATCTTTCATCTTCCTTTATCTTTCTCCTTCACTGGATGACTACTTGCTTTTTCTTGGCAGAACTTTCCAAAATATCACTTGTATTTTAGCAATTTCTTTTCTGTCTTCAGTGCTCTCCACAAAGTGCTTTTGCTGTTTTCTTAAAATACTGGCAAAATCCTTGCTGAGGAGTAGTATGACTAAGGTTTTATATGGGTTTCTTATTTTTTATTTCAGGGATGTTTGACAGAGAAAACAAAGGTGGTGTGAACTTCAATGAATTCACGGGAGTCTGGAAGTACATCACAGACTGGCAGAACGTCTTTCGAACGTATGACAGAGACAATTCTGGAATGATTGACAAAAATGAACTAAAGCAGGCACTAACAGGTTTTGGTAATTCATTTGTAATTACAGTTTTTATGATTGGGTTATGCCATCAAATGAGCTTCTTATTGTTAGGGCTTTACTGCTCTGACAAATGTGACTAAAAATGAGGCAGGTGAAGGGCAGCTACCTTTTTAGGTGTAAGGTTCCTTTTAATGATGTCCATGCCACAAGCACATTTTCTTTTTTAAAGCTGTTTCCTTTAATTAAAAAAAAAGAAAACATCCCACACATGTACTGACACATCCAGTTCCAGCCTCCTCTCTCTGCTCTGAGTTCATTACCAGTGCTTCAGGCAAATGTCTGAACTTCCAAGGTACTTGATACAGCTTGCCACTTTTTAAAACAAAGCCAGCTGTCTATGCTACAAGAGCATTCTGGTGGCAAAAGAACTTCCATTCCAGTGACTTCACTTGTAAAGACTTGAGCTGCAGCCCTAAACCGTTCCCTCAACCAACTAGTCACCTTAATCAGTAATTATATTTAGTGTGACTCTGGGTATAATTATTATTAAGCATGGTTTTTATTGCATGCCTTTTTATAACAGATATTTAGGAAAAAAAAATCCGTTTTAACTCCTCACTGTTTTCTCATTTAGTGACACACGCCTGTTGAACAGCCTTGTTCTTTCTGTAGAAGGACTGTGGTATTTGAAACCTTTTAAAGCATTTCTCTTTTTCCAAGGTTACCGACTGTCTGATCAATTCTACGATATCCTTATTCGGAAATTTGACAGACAAGGAAGAGGACAAGTTGCTTTTGATGACTTTATTCAGTGCTGTGTTGTTTTACAGGTAAGAAATGAGATGGGCTTTAATGCCAATTAAAAAAAAAATTACCTTTTCTTAAGCTTTTATGGTTCTCACTTTAACAGTGGATCTAGAATAAACAAATGGTTTATTTATAATAAACCATTTGAACTAAGTATACGAGAGGAGCTAGAAACATCTTCGTATATTGGTCTTCATTACTTATCCATTTGCATCACAAGTAAATTTGATAAAATTGGGAGGGGCAAAAAAATGTAAAATAGTCTCCATGTTTTAAAAGGAAAACACGTAACACTATCTCCATTAGTTTAATACACACACTTCTTCTGGAGCTTGAGTGTCAAAAGTGGAGTGTTCTTGTCCCATGGTGCCCATAATTCTCATAATCTGATTTACAACTTTTTTGTGTATCTCTGTGTTTAAGGCTCTGATTAAAGGAGTTTGACCTAGTAGCTGAATTACTCAGTCTTTCATCACAGCAGTACCTTCAGGGACAACGGTAGTAAAAGACATTTCAAACAAACAAACAAAACCCAACAAAAACCTTTGAGAGAGAGTACTGTAGGTTTGCAGGTGTATTTCTTTGTTTAGAAATCAGTCACTGGGTGATTCCTCACCTCATTGCTTAAGGTTTCTCAAAGCTTACTGACTTTTCTGAAAGGTGTGTAAGATTTGTGGAAAAGTTGGGAAACTGTAGGAGTTTTAGTAGAATAGGAAAAAGTCTGCTGCTCTTTCTGCTGGCCATCACTGCAAGAATATCTTAAGATATTTTTTGATATGCAAACGTGAAGGGAAAGCAGTACCCTGTAAAAGTAGTATCCCTGTTATTTGCACTCAGGTGTCTTGTGTCTTGTTCTTCTCCTTTTAGCTTTATGTCTGTAACTGTAAGTCTGCTGAAACATCAGTTGCCTTGATACTCAAGGCAATTATAATTAGTTATAAACTTGAACTCTAGTAAAAAGGGCTTTGAAATGGAGTTTCATTCAGCTGATATTACTGAAACCATGCTGGTAGTTATTCTGGTCCACTGTGTGTACTGCCTGGCATCTCTGGGGTTATACAGAGACAGCTCAGATACCAGTGACACACGAAGCATATTTGCCTAGAAGGTGAGAAATGCACAAGGATTTTGGATTCTGTTTCCAGATGACTCTCAAATGTACCATTGTTTTTCCCCTCACTTTAAAGCCAGTTATAAAAAGCTGTCTGGTCTATAAGGAAGTGCCTAAAGATAGGTGTTGTATCATTATTGGCAAAGAGCTATCTTTATACAGACAAGACTGTAAAATGGCTACAGAAGGGATGAACAGAAAGGGTTTCACAGAGCTGTAGAAGCCAGGTGGCAGGGGGAATACCTGGCAGCCTGAACCTTCCCAACAAACAAAAATGTATACTTTTTTCCCTCCTCCTCAGAGGCTGACTGATGTGTTCCGACGATACGATACTGATCAAGATGGCTGGATCCAGGTGTCCTATGAGCAGTATCTTTCCATGGTCTTCAGCATTGTATGACACTGATAACTAGGAATTGCACACTGGCATTACACAGACTGGAGTTGCCAAATCATCCTGTACTGAATATGATTATCAATGTATTATAATGGATGTAACTTCGCGTTCTTAAATTTTGTATGTTGGTCATCACCTTCAGAATCTGTACTTGAGTTGGTTTTTATTTTGCATTATTGTATGATATGACCATCTCTGCTTACTGTAGTACAGAAAGCACAGAATCTAGATTTAACTGGTGCGATGTCAAACTTAACCTATTTCACATATCCTGCATGGGAAAAATGACTCTTTAGAAATGCCAAATTAAAATAATGCTTGTTAGTTTATAAAAGAGTTGGAAGTCAGAAGTTGCACAACATGTTTTGCATGTGCCTTACTTTTATAAGAGTTTAATGTATTAATTTTTAATACAGAATTTAAAATTAAGTAAAAATATTAAATCAACTTTTGTAGTCTGTTTCACTCTTGTACAGCTTTAAGGGGGTGGTGGCATTATTTCTGTTTCAGAGATGTCTCCCACTTGGATGGCTTGTTTTTCTTGTCTTTTATTTTCTAGCTGCCTCCTTTTTTCAGGGTATCCTTGGGTGAGCTTCAAATACAACTTCTTCACACCTGTGTCCATTATTGCATCTTCCTTGATAAGTTCCGCACAAAAATGAACTCTGACTACTCTGAATGTGTTCCCTCTGCTTAGTCATCTCGTTTAACATCAGCGCTCTTCCATTTTGTGCTGAAGCACTTATTTGAAGTGGCCTTGAATTGACAGTCAGACACAGTCATAGGGTTACCCTACATCTCACCATTTACAGCTGATGAGAGAGACAGTGGAAAAACTGAAGCAAAACATTTAATGACTGTGTCATACACCCTCTCTGGCAGTAACTCTGCAAGCAACTTGGAGGAAGCAAGAGAAGTTAACAAAAAAAGTCAAGGTTACAATGTTATTTCCAGGTGACCCTGAGATTAGCTCAGTTGGTTAAAGCATCTTTGGCCCTTGTGGGTCCCTTCCAACTCAGAATATTCTGTGACTCTGTGTCTTAGCCAAGATAGAGTGTCTAATGTCAGGGTGAAGACAGCAAAGTGGCAACTGTGCAGTTGTCAAACATCTGTCGTGCAGAGAAGCTGCTACTAGTTGTCAGGTGATAATCAATCAGACCCTTAGTGACAGTTCAGCAATGCTCTGAACACTCTTCTGGTGTGAAATATCTGGGACCAAGACCAATGGTCTCCATAGCATAAGCCCACCAAAATAAGGAATTCTCCCAAAGCACTTAGGGCATTGTCACCCAAAGGCCGATGGCTTTTTGGGTGAAGAGAGGGAGCAAGAATAATGGCCAATGTCAGAAACTACCTCACCCAACAGCCTTGAATGAACTGTGAAAGTTACTTTAAGAAGATAAAGGAGAAAGACTTCCACCAGTTACTGCTTGAAACTTCCCTCCCCAGAAGGCTGAGATGATCACAAGATATGTTCTCTTCCAAAAAGCATTAACAGAAAAGCCCCAATGTTTTGGGCTCAAAAGAACTTGCCCATTCCTTTCCCATTAAGGAGCCTGTCCCTTTGGATCATACACTCACATGAAATACAGTTTCTGGGAAATGTTTTGAGGAGCATTAATAGGTCTAAGGTACAAAACTAAAAAAGCTGGAATCTGACAGACTTCCCAAGTTGTCTTGTCTGAAGGATGTGTCTGTGTCCAGCTGGCCTTGGTCTGCTTCACTGTCTTGCATGCAAACAGCAGCTCCAGCACTTTGTGAAGGAGCATCACTGCTGCAAAGAATCACCCAGGTGGCTCTGGATTGAAACAACTCTGGTCCCAGTGGATAACACGCATCTGAAGGTATGAAAGCAGGTACACCACAGACCAAGAAAATGGCTGAAAAGGAGACCGTTTACCCCCCAGTGCATGTTCTAGTCTGGATTTTTATCAATGGCTTTCTAAGGAAATGGGAAATTGATGCAAAGGGCTCAGGTGCAGCCTCAAAATGCTTGCCTCCATGCCAAAGCCTGTGATGTAGCTAGCTGGTTTAGTGCTGGCAGGTGGCAAGCACCCAATGCTGCTCTGCATGCTGTCAGTGCCTACTTTGTGAAGGTTTCTTGAAGAAAAACTAGAGCCTGGAGAAACAGGAACAGGTAGAGGAATCATTCTATTCCAGTTCTATACCACATGGGAGCAAGATAAGGCAAAGGGGTTTCTTGGGAGTATGGAGTAGTCAGTAATTTACAGCTCAGGAAACCTTTAGTAAATCAATACTCTCAACTTAGTCACTACTCCAATTCCGTTTCAAAGTGGAAGAACTGTTTCCCAAATGCAGGACTCTGCAGGGCCAGTAACTGCTGCTCAGAATGAAAAATACAAAGGGAATGTGTAGGTGGAAAGAACATCTAATTTGGGCAGAGATCACCCGGCTGCTGTGTGCCAGTGGGGTGTACAGTAAAGGCCATAAAAGCCCAAAGGGTGTGAGAAATGGGGAAGAAAGAGCTTTCTACAACAAGCTCAGATGAAAAGGTCTTAACTTGAATTGAGAGTTGCAACAGTAATATTTTCTAGCAACATTTTTTCTACAGTTTCAGAATTTTAGTTGCACTACACTTTCTGTGGTAGTAACGTTTGTGTAAATAATTTCTGATAATATTTAAATGTAGATAATAACTGATCAGTCCCACAGAGTTTTAAATCAAAACTCTGGCAGACACCTGTGGTAGAAAATCATACTTTTCCCCTTTAAGGAAGAAGGTTGACTATGGAATTCAGTGGATAAAAAAAGTGTATGGCACAACTACTAAGTGTATGCCATTATAAACCACTCAAACACACCAGTAAGTATGAGAGGAAGTAAAGAAAATAGTGAACAGGAATGCAAAAGGAAAGCGCATCTTTTCAGATGCAGAAGCAAAATAATTACAGAAGGACAATTTTAGGGAATTGAATTTACATGCTCAATAATAAATTGCTTTGAGTTTTTGTTAAAATTTACATGACAAGATCTAAAATGTATTTTGTCAGCTCATGAAGACTAATCCTGCTTCAGCACAAGCATTTAATGCACAGACACAGTTTAGGTATGGGTGAGAAGAAAAATGAAAGTCCACAACACAGCAGTGAGAAGGAAAATGGACACTGGGGAGTAAACTGTCTCACTTTACTTTTTTATTTCAGCTCCATGTAAGGTGGTTTTAATTACATAAAGCAGACATCTAAAGCCAAGAATTCATCAGCATGTGGCCCAGAAGTGTGGGGAAAAGAAAAAAAAAACACAGACCACTGATAAACATCATGAACTGGCAAGTATTCCTCAGTTAGTATGACATTCTGATTATTTATTCTTTCCTGTTATTTTATCTGATTGCCTTATAGATTTTACTATTTCTTAATAAGCTTTTGCCAATAGAAAGAATCAAGAATTTTTATTTTAGGATGGGTCAATCCATCAAATGAGTTTTTAAGTCAATTTGTAACAATTTCATTCAGAACAATATAATAAAATCTGCATATATTTCACACCTTTTTACTATGCAAAAATGAAACTAATATGCCATATTACGCACCAGTCCTAGAATAGCTTGTATTTTCCTCATATAGCATCACATTAAGACATTCAGAAATGTAGTGTATCAATTTCTAAAAATATGCTAATTATAAAGTCTCAAATTAATAGAATTGGCCTTATATTTGTGTGAAGAAAAGTAAACCTGTATTTTTTAATATTCTTCCCAAGTGGGTAACACAAAACTTCTTTTTTCTTTTTTTCTGAATTGGGCAGGGTGTTAAAAGGTTTAAAAGGTCTTTTTGCTGATGGAATAACTTTAACATATTTTCAAAAAATAACAAAAGATTTTTTTTCTATAATATACTAAAATGTAACAAGTACATTACAAAAAGCCTAAACAAAATAGTATGTTGATCCGTTATGTGCAAGTTTGTGTTCCAGCTACATTTTACATGTTAAAAAATTAAACCCTACCTCCCTTTACCCTTCCAAAACCAGTTAAATGCAGAATTAAATGCAGTCTCTTTCCTGAAAGACAAGAGATGGAGACTCTTGAATCTCTTCATCTGTTTCCATTTCAGCTGTTGTTGCTTCTTAATCTTTTCCTCTAGTTTCTACTAGCACATTGACTAATGTCTGAATATTTAGTCCTAGAAAGGGGAGATAAAGACATTTAAAGTTACTTCTATTTCATCATATTTTACATAACACAGCATAGAAAATGTTAAAATGAAAGTTTTCCTATTAACTAGCTTCTTAGTTAATTAACTAATTCTAGTAACAGAAGCATAGTTTGCATTTGTCCAAATGACAGGTATACAGTAGTATATGCCCATGTCCCTTTAAACCCCTCTCATAATCTATTTTCAAGAAGAATCTTTTATTTTGAATACTGTATCACTATTCTGAACATTAAGGACTATTTCTACAATAATTAGAAAAAAAATAAATTGTCATATAATGAACCAGCTCTTTCATAACATTTATGTTATCCCAGTGGGTTTGATCCATTTGGATTATTTATTATAATGCCATCCAGGTTTGGTTCTGCATGCATTACAATGTTTGTCTTTATGCCAATACATTCCCTAGAATAGATTACATCTTCCTCATACAGCACCACAGTAAGACAGAGAATACATTTGCTGTGACATTCTCCTTTCTTTGTCTAAACAGAAACGCAGTGTATCAATTTCTAAAAATATGCTAACAATGTAAGTGTATTGCAATGTAACATTGCAGCCCTAACAGTACAAACTCATGATATAAAATGCTAGTTAGAAAGATGACCTAGGACAAACCTTCCAATTCAGAAAAATTTTATTCTATCAAAATTTCCTCCCACTGACTGCTCTATTTAGTTGCCAAGAGGCACAGCGTCCTCAGAGAGGCAATACCACCTTTCTTCAGCTGATACAGACGCTGAGCAAAAAGAACTCGACTCCCCTGAACAGCATGTCCCGTCTCTGCAACACACACAACACACAATTTCCTGCCTATGTTAAAGCAACTATGTTGATGTAACTCATATGCAAACTAATCACAATCTTACTTTGAAGTACTGGATAATATGGAGCCAACTGTTTGAGCCTCCTGGTCATTGTAGGTATATCCTTTCCTTGTAGTCTGTTCACAGTGTTGGAAGCAAGACCAACATCATCTTCGTTGAACATCTTATCTGAGCTTCTGAACTGCTGGTAATCTCTGTATGAACCACTGCCAGAAAACGAGTCCTGATGTGAAGTCCAGTCACTCTGGTAGCCTGCTTTCTGATGCCTGAATCCTTGACAACTAGATTCCTGGTTCCAGCTAGACTCCTGCTTCCAGCTAGAGCTCTGGTTCCACCTAGAGTCCTCATTCCACTCATTCCACCTGGTGTCCTGGTGCCACCTGGAGCCACCTCTTCCTGAAACAGCAGAATTTGCAGAAGATGTACAAGTATTCACAGACTCATCATGCTTGTAAGAGGAATAGCTTTGCAATGGATCATTTGTGGAGTATCTTCCAGATGAAGGATACGAGGCTGTAGAATTGGGATAGGATAATCCTTGATCACTTACAGTCCACGCTTTTGTACACGCTTGTTGATTCCTCCATTTTGTATTTTCCCTGCCATATGAGAGTCTGTTATCGTGGAGTTTACTTCCTTGCACATCTCTGGACATATATTCTGCTGAGTACTCCCTCACTGGGCTTGTCACATAGGAAGAGGCCCCAGCAGCTGAATTACTGCCAGATGCAGATTGGCTGAACTGTCCCAGCCATTCACTGACACCACTGGCAGGACTTCCAGTGTGAAGAGCAAGAGAGTCCCTGAGTGCAGACATCATTGCGAAGTCATTAGACATCAGATGACAGGAAGATGATCCATCATCTGTTTGGTAACTGTATGAGTGAGCAGGAGCAAAAGAAGCTTCTGCAGAGCACTCTTCATACTGAGACAAAAAACCTTGATTCCAGTTAGAACTTCCTGAATAAATAAAGAAAGGACACTAAAAGTTAGCAAAACATTAAAATATCAACTGCAAACACAAGATTTTATAAAGTGATTCTATGAAGTGTCCTTCTGTTCTTTTCCCATTTCCTGCCTTTATGTCTTACCTGAGTCTGGCATCTTTTCACCCAAAAATTCTAATGTTAAATAGGTCAGGAAGGGTTACTGCTTGGATTTCCTATAACTTTTACTGCTGTAACACTACTCAGTGAAACAGAAATGTTCTTAGACAGTCGAGGCTGAAGTCATTAAGGCTTCAGAAAGCGATATCCTGAACTGATTCAGGGCACAGACACAAAGTGCGCTAGCTAAGAAGCACTATGGCTCTTTAATTTACCATTAAAGTAAATCTTTTCACAATCTGTGCAGCCTCAAGAGTATACTTAAACGAGGAAAAAAATATCTAAATTACCTCTGTATTTTCCATATGGCTTATAGTGTTTTGGGATGCTTTTCCTTCCTGGAAATTCATCTTGAGATATTGACATCAGTGGCCTCAGGCTATTAGTGTAATTAACCTAGGTAAAGCAAAAGGTCAGAATGTCTGTTTTTAAACTCAAAACTCAAACATTCTAAAAAAAAAAAAAATAGTAAGCTCCTCAAAGAAAGTTAGTAGAGTACAATTTTAGGTGAAAGCAAAATCCACACGAAGGATGCGTTGTTCTGTTGTTCACAATGACCACATTATACCTCAATTTTCAAAAGTATTATTTGGAACAGGTACGCATCTGGAGAACGGAATGAGGTGTCTGGGGAAGACAATGCCTCCTGTTTCAAATTTCTTTATTGCCTCATCTCTCATCATCACCTGGCTAAAATATAAAACTGGTACATATGCACATCCTGTCTTTAGCTGGGAAATGCAAAATGGAAGGCTCAGCTGAGAGATTAAGCTATAGCAACAATGTTTAACTGGTAGTGGTGGTGGCATTTGCACAGAGACAGTTACTGTAGCTCAGCTGACATTATTGAGAATACCATCTGAAACATCCTCCATTAAAAACACATGCTGAATTTTGTGAACCAGTAGCTACTAGAGGTGATGAATCATTTTTTCACAGATTCTGGTCCTTCTTCAGACCCATTTTTTCTACAGGTATTCAATTTTTATGCCAAGAAGCTATGGAGGTTTGTAAGGGCCAACAGAAAGTCAAGAACATCTTGCCTACCTTAGTCTTAATAGATTAATGCTCCCGAGAGCAGAGCTACAGGTCATGAGACAGACTTACCCACATGCCAGCAAAAGGAAGAAGTGGCACATTTAGGTGGCACTTAAAGCCTGATTAATCTTAGAAGACAAGCAATCAAGCAAGGGACCAACTACAGAAGAAGGATGACAAGTATATTTAACTGGGATTTTTGACCATGCCTGAACTGTTACAGTTTGTAACAGTACAGTCTGGCAGGGTGTTAACTCCTTCCCTCCCAATGGCAAAAAAACTCCGGTCAAGATTAAGTTACTTACTGCTGCTTTCTTTTCACAAAAGGCCTTCAAAGCCTCTGTGAGTTCCTGTGTAATGCGAACAACAAGTGTTGCTTCTGAGTCTGAGGTGATGTGAAAAGTTTCCTGCTGAAAAACATGGTTAGAATTGGTCATTAGGATGCCAAAGGGTCATGTACACAGAGATCAAAGTTAAACTTTGATTTTTTATAACAAAAATTATACTATTAGTTGATTTATAAGACATATAATAAATGTATACACACACATATCAAAATATAAAATTGTGAACATAATTATGGCCTGATAACAGGTAAAACATAAGCCCGGATTTCTCTGCCACTCCCTTACTGTCAATCACGAACATTTTGTTGCAGATGGAGAAGGGCACAAGTCCTAAATTTATGTTTTCTGTGTAGAAAATTGAATAAAAAGTATGCCTTAGGCTAATTTGTAAGTATATAAAGTTATAAGTGATTACAGTAAGTTAAAAGAATATGGGCAGTCTGCCACAAGGAATAGCCACGATTCCTGCAGATAAAAGTCAATTAACTGTCTATCAAGTATTTTTGGCATTTTACTGATTATCCCTTAGACTTGCTTTTTCACTCTCTTTCCAAAGTCACAAGTAGCCACAGCTTAAAAGAAATGAAGCATGCATCTCAAAACATTCTACTTCTGATTTCCATGTATAAACACAATTCAAACTCAAATGAAATTTTCCAATTACCGTAGGTACAGGACATGACTTTCACAGAGTAAAACAGTGAATACAAATGGTCAGATATTTTCACAACATGAACCCAGAAGACAAACCAAGGCTTACTATACCACTGCCAACAGCAACTGAACAGATAAAAGTTCCCCCACTTGCTCCAACACCAGCAGCTGTGCTCTCATATCCCTCAGTTTCACTTGTCTGTCTAGTTCTGCAGCAGCAGCACAAGCCACAGCATCCCAGGCAGCAACACCAGACCAGTTCCTCTTGTTCAGCATTATCACCAACCCCATTAAATACAGGCAGCCAATAGCACTTGAGCAACATCAGTGCTGCAAACTGACACTGCTTGTCAGGGTGACTCCTCAGCAAAGGGAAGAGTCATCCAGAGAACAGGTCAAGAGCACACATTTAATCCACCAAGTTGTTTTGAGTTGACATTATGCTATGACTGCACCAGGTTTTCAAAGAGCAGAGTCCATTAAAAGAGAATTTAGAAATTGGTGTTATGGTCAAATGAGTTTGATCAGGAATCAGAGGCTCCTTCACAGTATTCATTGCATCATACTGGTGAAACTGTACAACTCTTATCACAATTATTTTACATACATACCAAGAACTCTAGAGCTTTTTGTTTCCGAACAGGATCATTCTGTGGAATTGTAGAATAGGAGAGAAAAATTAAAAGACTCAATATTATAATATTTGTTGCATCATCTTGTACAAAACAAGACATTTTGATCTTTTATCCAGCAACAAGTCAACACAAAGAAAAGACAGTAATTTTAGGTCACAACCATAAACATATAACCTTAGAGTTTCACTATCAGTTAGGTAGCAGCTACTACAAATACAACTGCATTACTTTCAATACCAGGAAGAAGAACACATTTCATATCTAAGCCATATCCATATCTTTCCCAGGCTTTCCTCACTCAGGACCAAAATCATGTTTAAAAAAGTCAAGTGCTCAGCTGTATTTAGCACAGTACCTGACCAGCCTGAGGCCTGCACAACCAACCTCTGCCACTATGATAAAAATGAGGCAGTTCTCGGTGTTTGTGCCCAGTGCTGGTTAGGGCAGATATTTGAGAGATCATTTTGAGTTTCACCTTTGAGTTAGAAAAAACGATTGTAAACGTTTAGACATATCTTAAAATTTAAACCAAACCTTCAGAATAGAATACCTTTGATCTGAAGAGGGGCAAAACAGAGAAGGGGAGACTGCAGCTCAGGTTGAGAGACCTGGCCTGCAGACACTGGATCTGAGACTCTCAGTGACTCTGAACAGGATTTATGAGAGCTAAGGTGAATGTACAGTATTCACTTCCCCTCTGCTACGATGAACACAAAACCCTGGTCATTAGGTCAAGTGCTTCTGCAATAATATTAATAAAAGAGTAAATGAAGTCAAAGAGTAAACATTTTTCAGAAAAATTAAAAGCAAGCATAAGGAAACTGCTACAACATAAGATACTTGCAGAGTTACTACCTCTACATACCTCATGCTTATAATCATCTTCCCACCTTAAAAGAAAGAAATTACAATATTAAGATGCATTCTAAAACTACAAAAAAAGTTAGTTTTACTCATAGCATCTAGAACCAAAATATTTCAGTTTCCAAATTTATATCACTTACCAATACAGAATATCTAAGAAATAACAGTATTTTAAATATGCCATAAAGGTCCTTATTCTGAATGACTCTCAAAGAGATCCAGTAGTACTCATGAACTTCTTTACAGATCAGCTAAAGGAGATGACTAAAGTAATGGTGGGGTTTTTTTGTCTTCCTATATGAACAGAAGTGTCTTTTATACAATTTACTCAGCCTATGGCATCCCAAATAGACTGGAAACAGCCTGAAATTTCAATTGCAATTTCTCTGTGAGTGCAATATTTCAAAAGCCATAGCTACTATTTCCGCACAGACAAAAAGGAACAATCTACAAAAGAGGAATAAGTACAGTGGAAAGACAATATAAAATATTTTCCCCATATGTCGTGATGTTTGTTATAGAAAAGTAGATGAAAAATCTCTTTTGATTCCCCTGTGGGGATAGTATTCTCACCTTGCTTTCTTCTTTGATGGGGCTAGAAAATGAAAAAGTATTATTAGCAACATCACAGGGTTTCCACCATACTACTGCAACAGATGCATTACACACAGAGAACAGTTACTGGCCCTGACGTGACTGCAGTTTATTTAAAGAGCAGGATTCAGCAGCCTAAAACTAGACACATATTGCCAATTTAGGAATTACCAGGCATCCTTGATGAAAAGTCTATGGGAGGCTTGTGCCCTAACTGGTTTGCAGGGTACCCTACAAAACCTGTTCACGTTCAGGCAGCTGAATCCCACACAAGAAGTCTGTATGGATTGAACTGAGGTGGGCATGCCTACTCCACACAAACAGTGAAAAGGTTTGGCAATGTTTTTTTCTGTGTATATACCAGTGAACCTGAAAGCTGCATATACATACAGTCTCCAACAAAAAGTTATGGGGATTAAGTGTCTAATCATGTCATCTCTATCAGTGTATAACATGAGGAGGGAGGGAAAGCTCAGTAAAACAAGACAGTCTAAGACAGTAACTATGCTTCAGAGAATCAGCTACTGCACGGTACATAACTTATTACTTCTTAAGTATTTATCAGCACAGGTGTTCCAGGATAAGCAACAGGACAAGTAATAATTCTCAGGACAAGTGACATCTTTGCTCCTACAATATGAGGCTGAAAGACTTATGTTACCATTTTAACCACTTCATGTTAACATGGTAAACACGTGCTGATGAGTTGCAACATGAAGTTGCACTGTCCCAAAGTTTTCTAAATGCCAGGAAAGAAAAGGACTGCCACCATTTCAAAGAAAATATCCAATAAATTAAGAATCATGGCAATGTAGGATGTAGGGATCTCTCACAAAATCATAAAAAAGGTTGGAAGGGACCTCTGGAGGTCACCTAGTCCAGTCTGAGAGGTAAAAGTACCACAGAGGTGGTAAGAAGAGAAACCAATTAACTGTAAGATGAGGACACTGACAATTAGATTAATTTTCTTTGAATTATTCAATTTGTGCTGTCTTTCCAGTAAGCCTCCAAAATCTGCCCTGTTTGAAAAGAAGATGAGTGGAGACAAGGAGTACTACTCAGTTGTTGGAAACTTCACTCCAGCTAATGACTGAAGTTCTGCTCACTCTGACAAGGACTAGCCTCAAGATCAGATCTGAATGGTTAGGCTTGAGTCCAGCTGAGTTTTACAAGTCTTCAAGAATGGTGGTTTTTCACCTATTTGGTCAGGCACTTTCAGTGTGTAGTAACTTCCAGTTCCATTGTCTAGTCCAACCTTCTACTTGAAGCAGGACTACTGCCAACATAAGATTCTAGTTTTGTATCACCAAGTCTTGAAAACCTGCAAGGATGAAGAGTTCACTACCTACGGATAACCTGTACTACCCTCCCTGAACTCAGTTTTTCCCAAGTTCAGCCTCTCAAGCTGCCATCTCTGGTCATCTCATTACATTGTCTGCAATTACCAACAACTTTGACTTTGTCATCTTTGTAGCAGTCTACAAGCAGTTATCATGCCTTACCCTTCTCTTTCCCGTTCTAAACAAGCACAGCTCCCTCTAACCCTCACCCTAGGCACATGCTCTTGACCCCTGAAAAACTCCATAATCCTCTCCAATTTCTCCAGCTTCCCCTTGAACTAGAAGGAACAAAACTGGACACATTATTCCAAGTTTGGTCTTACCAGCACCAAATAATTGGGGATAAGATTGTTCTCCAATATTCTGCCTGTGCTCAACCTGTAGTATCACAATATGAGATTTGCCTTGTACGAAATGAAAGCATTCTCTTGGCTCATATACAGCTTGGAATCCATCATAACCCTCAAGTCTTTTTTAGCAAGACTGATCAGTCTATCACTTCCCATCCTGTATTGACTCACAGTTTTACTCACTTCCCCACTGAAGATACAGACAGGCTTCTCCAGATATCTGCTATAATTTCAATCTGAAAAGCCTGGTGCAAAATAGCCAAGTCAATCTCTGGACTTATTTCCAGTTTGCTGCTGTATTCCACAGCAGCATTAAGAATAGATTTTAGACAGGAAAAAAAAATGATGCAGGCAGAATTCAGAGACTAAATCAGAACAGAACTTGATATGTTCTACTACCAAACTGTGCTTATACACAGTGTCACAAGGCTTCAAGCTCAACTTCACACTTTGAGTTATTGGCTACAGGAATTACCTTCATAAGTCAGTATTTTTAATCCAAAGCCCAAGACAAAATACATATAACCTCTCCTCTTTAGAGAATAAAGAAATGCTGTAATTTTTCCTTTAAGAAAAGCAACAAATCAATCACTTCAAGGTCTCTCATACATACATACGTGTCTACATATATATATAAGAATATATAATCTTATCTTAGTTTTGCATATGATCTGTGCAGCAGCCAAAATTTGGTGTTAATGTCCATTTTGCTTCTTGCAAACTAGTACATGTCACCAAAAGGCCTGTCTTAATTATATGCTCAAACTCACTCTTGCTGAAATTTGCCAATATGATCTAGTCTAAAGACATACAGCTGCTAAACCAGTAAGCATGACTTTCTTCTAAATAACCAGAGTATTTTTATTTTGGAATTCATTTGATGTTGACCTTACCACCTAACTAGAGCAGACCTTAATACTGAATGACACAATGCTTTTGCAGCCAACTTCACTCTAGTCCACTTCTCTAGTTCTTCATATCCTGTAGGTCTGGGTGGGATCACCCTTTTTGATGTTCCAGATTGATATTTGAGCACGTCTTCTACAGAAGTCTACTGACTTGACTGATGTCAATTTACCCTGAACTGAGAATTACTGAGCTAGATTACTGTGTCACATTCCCTTTTCTTCACAAGAGACACAAACAGAGCTCAAAAAGATTATCTGCCACCTTGTTTAGACCAACATCTCAGACCAACATTAAAAAGTACAATCCACAGAAGCCACTAATGATCAATCCGAAATTGATTCACACTGAAAAATTCTGTTGATCTATGCAACCTTCACCCATTTCAATCAAACCTACCTTCCTTCTAGTATTAGTACTAGGGTCAAAAGGTAGCAAGGAAGTATTTCTTCACGCTGGCTAAGGAACATTGCAAGTCTGGCAATTTCCTTCTTTCCTCATTTCAAATTCACAAAAACCAGAAAATCTCTGAAAACATTTAGAGCTATTACAAGTTGAATGTTTTAAATCAGTCAAACCCTTGAGTTCAACTACTAAGTCAAACTAGGCCAGATATCACTTACATCAATTCTATTATATTCAAGAAATTCATAGACTTACGTGAGGTACTTGGTCTTATGTAGCCTTCAATCTAGAAATAGAAAAAGTTTCATATTAGACTTTCTGATTAAAATTCCAAACAAGTATCTTCTGCAAGTGCCTTTAGGAACAGAACAAGTACTTTTATTTATGCCAGCATAGTGTAGACCATAATTTCACAGATACTGAATCGTGTAAATACGAATGAAACTTGAGAGAAAATTTGCTTACGTTTGAGAAAATCTAAGTTGCAAAAATCAAAAATTATTGAAGTCAAGCAGTGAAATTTTTGAACCATGGTATTCAGACTGGACATTTTCAATTTAAAAAATCTAAAACCTTCAAAATAAACAACTTTTGTTTTCAGATGAATTTCAATATTACTGTTCTTTTCCTCAGACTTTTTAGGGCAACTTTAAGTAAAGCCTTAGTTCAACTGAATACTACACTTCCTAGAAACACGAAGAAATTTAACAAGCTTTGTCTGCAGTACTTTTAAAATTTACTACAAACATAAACACATTGATAAAAGACATATTAACAAATACTTTACATTTACTTCCAATTACCTCATACATTTTTAACCCTTCAGTCTTCTCTAGCTCTCCTGCTATCCGTTTGAGAAATGAGACTTTGCATTCTTTTACATCTGTTGTCCTTCTCTTCATTTTGTCTGGAAATTCTTTAGACTGTTGAAAAAACCACCTTGAAAAGGTCAATATCAAAATTCATCACAATATTAAAATACTGACACATTTCACCTTTTGGACAAGTTTCCAAAAGGCTGGTAAACATTGATTTGAGCATTATGAGCTAGTTTTTTCTCTGTAACGCAACTAATTAAATTTTAGAGTTGCTTAAGTAGGCTTCAAAACAAATAATGGATGCCATGCAAAGCTTCCTACCAAAAGGAAACATCCTCTATGCCAAATCTAACAATGTTAAGGACATGTTGAGGAATAAGAAAAAACCCACAACGTTCTAGGGACCTGATCCTGAAAACAATCCAAACACTCAGGAACAGACTTTTGAGCTGATACAGACAGGCACCTCTGGATTGAACTGCCTCAACAGCTCACAGCATTAGAGCTTTTCATATTAATCTGACCCATGAAGAGTCAACTGTATAAGTATTAGCAATTTATCACATGGGAGTTTAAACCAATTATTTAGAGGAAAAAAGGGAGGGGGAGTATCATAAAGAAAAAATTATCAAAATGCATCAAAAATAACTCACAATGTATGCTCTCCTGTGTTTATATCCACTAAGATGTTCTATCATGGGAGCCATCTCTGTATTAAGCTCACACAGCTTGCACTCATAACGCGGCTCTTTTCTTCCTTCAAATCTGATTTCAACCACATGTTCTAAACCTGTAGAAGCAGGAGTTATAAGTATCTATATTTTACTATATCCTACTATAAACAAATGTATTCTCTTCAGTGTTGCTCATTAAAAGCCCAAATGAACATATAATAATATTCCATTTTCAGAATTTAGATACTCCCTCAGGATCACATTAGTTAAATTTATCTCTTTCCAATGTCTTATCGAGAAAGAAAATACACCATCTGTGGCAGATTTGCAAGCCTACCAAAAGAAAATATTTCATGCACCTTTCTTCCTGCTTGGGATTTTTTTTTCAAGAAAATAAAACAGAGAATGAGAATAGAAATGTCACACAAATGTCTAGATTTAAAAACTGCATTTAAACTACTTAGTCGAGCATAATTTGGACAGTGTCTGAGTAGCACAATGCAGATGTAGGAAAGAGACATTAATCACTTAAAAAAATTGAGTCCTTCAAAATTTCAAAATCTAAAACCTTTTTTTAAAGTCTTAAAAGTGTAGGGTTTTTTTAATCTAAACACTTTCACATTTTACAAGAATGAAAATGGGAGTTTTCTTCATTTTCCTATAAATTACTGAGACTATCCCTTAGAAGTATTCATAAATCTCCAACTTTGAGGCTTATTACCTAGCGTGAAAAGTTTTACTCTGAACAGCTTAAACATAACAAATTTAAAAGCAGCTTAAAACAGCAGCTGTTCCCTTATGTCATAATTTCCAATGCTCTGTATTTGTGATGGCTTGACCCCAGCCAGCAGCCAAGAACCACATAGCTGCTGGCTCACTCACATACACACCCTTCAGCAGGGTGGGGAGAAAATAAGAAGAACAAAAGCAAGAAAACCAGGGGCTGAGATTAAAGACAAATTAATAAGTGAAGGAAAGAGGGGTGAAAAAACAAAAAGAAAAACACATGCAAAACCCCGTTGCTCACTTCCCCGTCAGCAGACCAATATCCAGTCACAGTCTCTGAATAGCCACCTTTGAAGTTAAACCTTGCTCCACCCTACCCTCTCCATCCCCCCCTTTTTCCTTCTTTGTCTCAATTGAGATTGCTGACAGAATATGCAGCACAGAATATCCTCTGTCCAAGTTCGGGCCAAGTGTCCTGGATGTGACACCTCCCAGACTACTGCCCACCCCCAGTCTACCCAAGTGGTGAGGGATGGGGACCCAGAGTAACGAGTCTTGACACAGTGCACTGCTCAGCAACAGAAAAAATACACTGGCACGTCATCAAAACTGCTTCAGTCACAAATCCAAAACATACAGGCTGCTATGAAGAAATTCAACCCCATCTCTGATCTGCTACAGTTTTATACTTCTAAATCTTAGCTCTGCAAATAAACTATCACCTAATGAACTGAAGGCGTTCTTGTAACCAAAGAGTTTTCTACTAAAAATGCTTCTAGTAATAAATTACTATGATTTTTAATATTAACACTTTATGTGGAGTAACAAAAAGACAATGCACTAAACAGGGAAATTTTCAGCTAATATTAGGAAATTTGCTGCTTAGGTCTTCATGAGGGAACATATTTCTCTAGGCTACCAGTACATACTTGGAACACTAAGGCCACTGAGAAGGGTTGCCTAATCTAGCACTTAGAAAGAAAGAAAGCCTTAAAATTAATCTCATTAGTTTGAGACAGACAGGAAAAATATCTTACTGAACAGGAACATTGGTATATCCCACCGAATAGGAAGCCATAAAGAACCATGACTGATGACATGTCACTAGTGGCACTAAGTCCAGTTGGAGGCCAGTAGATAGTGGTGCACCCTGGGGTCAATACTGGGTCTAGTCTTGTTACCCTCGCATACCCTCAGCAAGGCTGCTGATGACATATAACTGGGGGAGATGGCTGATACACCAGAGGGTTGTGCTGCCATCCAGAGAGACCCTGAGTGGCTGGAGCTGGGCTGACGGGAAGCTTAGGCTGGTCAACAGGGGCAAGTGCCAAGTCCTGCATCCAGGGAGGAACAAGCCCAGGCACCAGTACATGTCAGTTGGGGGCTGGCTTGCTGGACAGCAGGTTGGCAGGAAAAGGCCTGGTGGACACTAAGTTGAAGACGAGCCAAGAAAGGCTGATGGTATCCCTGAGATGGAAAAGGAGCAGTGTTGACAGAAGGCTCTGCTCAGCACCAGTAGGGCCAATTCTGGAGTGCTATGTCAAGTTCTGGACTTCCCAGTACAAGAGACATGGACATGTGAAGGACCATGAAGATGATGAAGGTACTAGAGCATCTCTCCTATGAGAAACAGCTGAGAGAGCTGGAACTGCTCAGCCTGAAGAAGAGGAGGCTCAGAGGGGATCTTGTCAGTGTGTATAAATATTTGAAGGGAAGGTGCAAAGAAGTGGGAGCCAGGTTCCTTTTAGTGGTGCCCAGTGACAGGACAAGAGGCAATGGCACAACTGAAACACTTCTGAACATCGGGAAACACGCCTTGACTGCGAGGATGACCGAGCACTGGCACAGGTTTCCCTGAGAGACTGTGGAGTTTTTCACCTTGGAGATATTCAAAAGCCACCTAGACATGGTCCCAGGCAAACTCCTCTGGGACTTGACCAGGGGGTTAAGACCAGCAGAAGTCCCTTCCAACCTCAAAAATTCTGTGGTCTGGGAAAAGCTTGTATACTTAGATGGCTCTTTCAGGAACAAGTTGTATTAAAAGTTAAGGTATAAAAGAGGTGGCCTTCATAATATGCAGTGCAACGAGCTAACACTTAAAAGGTATGAGATAGATATTATCCTATAAGTTATTGAATATATTTCCAGAAAATGAAATAGTATCTAAAATGCCACCTTTTATTTCAAAAAGCCATTTGGTCACAAATTCAAAGGCACACAATTTATAAAACAAAAAACATACCAACTAGAGGTTCTTCTCTTTTGGGATCATTCATAAAATCCTTCAGACAGGTTATGTACTTTGTAAGTCCTCTCTTCACTAAAGTAAAAAATACACACATAAAAGAGACATTACACATTATACAGTTTGCACATAACATCCATGATCTTAAAGGAGTTTCTAATGGAGACTTCAATGGGGACAAAATTTGCACTCTGAAATACATACAGAAAACAGCAAGGCCTCAGTCCCACAACAGAAAGACTCCAACACCCTGTCCTCCATAACAATTTTACACACAAGGATTTAATGTCTTCAAGAAAAGAACCAAATAAGCAAAATAGAACTTCTAACACCATCCAATTTACTGAGGAAAGATACCGAGTTCACATTCATAGCATGTACCAGACACACAAGGATTTAATGTCTTCAAGAAAAGAACCAAATAAGCAAAATAGAACTTCTAACACCATCCAATTTACTGAGGAAAGATACCGAGTTCACATTCATAGCATGATAGCATGTACCAGACTGTGTCAGTTCTCCAAAAAGAACAAAAAGTTAAAAAAAAAAAAAGGCAAGCCAAGCCACCAGCCCCCTCCTCTCCTTAAAATCCTAATATACACATAACATTCTGGGACTGCTTGTTTGGAGTCTGAAGTCCAAGAATCATATTGCTTTAAGTCTAACAAAGAACACAATCTTCACTAATATAACAAATGCCTCTTGTGCTCTGGGCAGCCCAAAAGCGGCAAAAACACTGGTAGTATATTCCTAAATCTGAACTAGCAGTGTTTCGATCAGGGCTGTCTCTTGCTCCTGACTGAGTTTTAATAGCCTGGTTTTTGGACTTCCTGGTCAACTGGGAACACCAGCAGAGTTCAGCTAAATGTATCTGCTAAACAATCTCAGAGAGGCAGTAAGGGTATTCAAATGTTGGACATTATAAAGGAACATGATAAAGTGTTAAAATATGTACTCCTAATCTGAGAAAAAAATGTGCAGAAATAGAACTCATCTTCCTAATTAGATAAAACCGACCAATGAATTACATAAGAGTCATAAAGACTGCTCGTTTCTTCAAATCGGAGCAAGCACGTAGAAATACCACAAGCACTGAATTGTTACTGTATTCTTTCCCATTAGGATGCCAGGTTACAGTTTAAAAAACACAAAAACCCCAAAACCTCACAGGGATAGGGAATTCCATATTTACTCCTAAATATTCATTCCATTAGGAATATGCCTGTGCTGCCATCAAGTCAAACTCCCGGGCTGCAAACAAACAAAAATTTCACAAAGTTCCAGCATTAATTTAGATGGAAAACCTCCTGCAAATAGAAAAAACCTCCATGGGAATGCCTCCTGCCACAGCAACAGTGTGGCCCATTCCTACCAAAATTTCAGTCTTGTTAAAATCTTTCTATGTTGTTTTGGGGCTTTTTTGCCTGAGGTGACATGCAGCAGTAGCATAGTGCGACAACAGTTGACACAAGTTGGTGCTACATAATCCATCTCCATAAACAAGATTCTTACAAACTGAAATGCATTATGCAGTTCTCATGCATTCATGTGTCTGTGCAGCAGCTCAATGTGAGCTGGCTATTGCCAAGCTGACAGAGAAAGGCATGTGGTCTTCTGGACTTAATAAAGAAAGATCCACACAGAAAAAGGCTAAAGGTCTCTTCAAGGTCATTTCTTCTTATTTCCTAACATACAACTAAATATTCCTGTCTTAGTATCATCTTAATAGCAAACAACTCATACTGTTCTTGGTTTATATGTTTCTGGTTTGTCAAACTTCCACTGTATCATTTGTGTACAGAAAGAGTGATGCAAACTTTTTTATTGAAAACTTCAACAACCAAAAAAAATTAGCTAAATGCAGTAAGATATCAGATAATCGTGAAGGCAGAAAGTATGTCTCAAGTTCAAAAGTCTTTCTGTGAAAAGACTTGTAACTTCATATTCTCCTAAGACCTTTTCTTAGGAAAGAAAATTAACCAGTGCAAAAAGGAAAAGCAATAGTTCAAACGTTTGGCAGGTTGCACTGCTTCTTTCTAGACCACAATCTAATCACCTGCTTTAGTCATCATTAAAACAAAACAATTGGTTTCAAAGTTGCATCTGAAAAGGACATTAGCTCATTTATATTCAGCTACCTGGTCTCTGTGCTTCATACTTCATCGGAGTTTGGACTGGAGCTGCAGGACCTAGGATAACAGTTTGACAGTCAGACAACTACTTCTCATTTGCTTTTATTAAGTACCTAGTGGGTCATCAAAACATGTTACAGAATAGAACAGTTATCTTCATTTTAAGGTTTAATATATGCTCAGTATTCCATCTTGATGTAGTTTTCTTCTGTAAATTCACTGCTCTCAGAAAAAGTCTCTCATTCCACTCCCCTCCCCCATCAACACAATATACCAAATGTGAATTTCACAGAAGCCCAGAATATTAAATTCTTATTTGATTTTTAAATGCTTTTCATACTGGTTACTTATTTTAATTATTTTAACTATTCAGTATCATGCATGACAATCAATCTGTGTTACAGGTACTCAGCATAAAACTTCCGGTCTAAACATTTAGAGCCTAAACACAGTCTCAGACACAATCAATGTCATCAATTAATTGCATCTTCTTTTACACAGGGCTCTGTATATATTCTTAATCACTCAGAGCTTCAGAATGAATTTTCAGATGTATTTTATAAAGGTACTTTTCCTCCCTTTGAACGTTTCCCTTGCCCCACTCCCTCTCAAATCCATAGACACAAACGACCATGCATTAATGATGTTGTTGGTATTTTGTAAGTCACAGCATTTAAGTTTAAAACAAGGCGACACACTAATACTCATTTACTGGAAAAAGTGGAAGTTTGAGTTAAATTACACAGTTGCACAAGTAATTACTCTTGAAATCAAGTTTTATATACTCATGGCAAACACAACGTGTTGTATACATCAATTTTTTTCCTCTTTCTGCATAAGACTGGCACTTAAGAGATAGGAATCAAAGCTGTAAATCAAATCAAATCATGGTTGTAAACATGTTGCAAATAACTCTGCAACATTAACATAAGGGAGGGGTCTGGAAAAACATATCTCCCTTGATTCCTTATAATAAATTATGCATTTTTTTCAGTTAAATGCTTCAAAATTTCTGGTAGCAAGAACAAAAGAAGATCTCCAGGTACTCTGCAAGCACAACAATTCAGAGTTGTTCAGCTAGTGTCTGAAGCTCAAGTCAGATTCCAGGTCCAGCATCTGCAGACTGACAACATGGCCAAACGCTAAATGACACAAATAAGCACCTGCGAAACAAGATTTTTAGTGCTTTATTTTGATTTTACTTGTAGGGGAAACTGCATTTACAGAGAATTGCACCAGAAGCAGTTCACAGTGCAGTCTGCCTTAACATGGTTACAGTTTACAAACATGGTCAAGCTAAAAATCAAGTTCTAGCTGCTACTATCACCAAAAGTAGCTGTGGGGGGGTTGTGAGTTTTTTTATCCTTATTAAAGAAAAGGCAGTTAGTAAATATCATTGCTCCTGGAAAAAGTTTAACAAAGCAATTATGATCTTAAAGACTCTCCCATTCAGCAACAGGGGGTTTCCAGGCTAACATTTAACTCATGCTTACTAGCCACATGGCTTTGTAATATTGCTAATAAGGTAAATTATATTTCTTAAGCACCCCAAACCCAAAACACAATGTTTTCCCTAAAGCATATCAGACTGATCAATAAGCTGAAAATCAGCTGGATTGCCAGGCTCAAAGGGCAACGATCAACAGCGCAGCCTCTTGGGGCTCAGTAAGCAGCAGAGTGCCCTAAAGACTGATTACAGGGCCCACAGCAATTACTACCAACATCAGTAACCCGGCTGAGGATGCACAAAACACTCTCAGCAAATTCACAGACAATAGTAACAGGCAACGACCGATGTCAAAGCCCCAATAAAGCAGGACCCTGGGAACATTAAGGCAAACCCCATCCTGAGATGCAGCACAAGCTGCTTACTTCAGAATACCTTATCCTCCATTATTTGGGACTTGCGAGGCTGGCTAGTACCATCCTTGTTCAGTTCAAGTGGGAAGTGGAGAAAGAAAGAGGGTTGTCAAGGTTTGAGAGCCCCAAAAACCAATTCCCTAGTCCAAACCCCCCTCCCACATCTCAAAATAGCCACCAAGGCAAACAACCGAGAGCAAATAATTTATGAGAACAGTTTTGGGAGCTGGACTTGTTTAGTCTGGTAAAGTGGAGACTAAGAGGACATAGCAGGGATACATCAACGGCAGCTACAAAGATTTCCAACCCTGTGTGGATGTGACAAAAGTATTAACAAGTAGCAGCCAGAAATAGTTGCTTCAGAGGCAAAGATAAGATGTTAGGATAAAATTTCTCTTTAAGACAGAAGAGTAACTATGGACAGATCAAACACAGGTTACAGACCCTCTGCCTGAGGAGATGTTCAAGAATTCAGCAAGGGATGATCCAGCACTGGCAGTAGTCCTGCTTCAATCAGGAAGTTAGGAAATCTTATCAGTATCAGGAAATCCCTTTCAGCTAATGATTTTATTTAGTAAGGGCTATTTTCCAGTTACTAGTTACCTACATAAATGAACAAAAAGAACCCTTTCCTTTCAATATTCAGAGTGCTGAACATATAAAAGATGGAGAACAAAGAAACATCTGTAAGTGCATTTGTAATACACACACATTCCTAATGTTTCACAGCCATGTTTCAAAACTTAAGGGTAGTATCAGACATTGTCAATTCAGCTATTCAACAGCAAAGAAGTACTGAGTTCAGTACTGCAGATTCCCTTTTGAATGCAAGAGGGGAAGTGCAAAAGGACGCCACATTCCAGTGTATAGAGAAACTCCCCAAGAGAGAGGTGGGTAAGGGTGTTGAAGCAGTTTTCAATCTTATACTTCTATTATTACGTCTTCTGAAACATTTCCTCTTCTAGTCTTCAAGCCAGAAAAGAACTTCCAGGTTGGGGTTTTTTTGAAAACATTGCAGTAGTTATACATCCCAAAACCTCATGCCTGGTTATCAATGTTTAACAAACACTGAGCATGGAGAGACATGTTAAAATAAATAAATTTCTGATAACAAAGCTGAAATGCTGATTAGTATACTGATAAGGCAGTAACTATTGAACACATGATGTCTGTACTTTCACTGGAGAATTTGCTGTCAGTGCTGTTAAATAACTGCAGTTTATCTTCAGACTGGATTCCTCCCCTTGACTCCATGTCTACCACCACAGTGAAGCTTTCTTTACTCATGGTGCTACGTAGAGGTTTTAGGTTGAAAGATGCAGATGCAGATTAGCAGATCTAATAACTAAGCACCTAACAGCATTCCTTATTACACTTTTGTATTGTTGTAAGAGCAGCACTGCAAGCTAACTCTGCACCTCAATGTAACGCGAGAAAAATTCCACAGGCTGTGTGAAAAAAAAATTCATTAATCCACTTCTCTTGCCAAATTAATTTCACCAATAAAGCTAGGCAGCCCAGAAATAGCTTTAATAGGGCTCATACCCTATACTATGCCTTCTGCCTGAGCTGACTCATAGTAGTAAACCACTGGATTTTGCTATTGCCCAGCAAACATTTGCCTAACATGTATGTCGGCATCTCCCCATCATTTAATGCCTCTTGCTCAAAGCAAAAAGTTTTCCAAACTTCTCTATTTTGGCCAAGAGGTCCCAAGAAAAAAAACAATGTTTGGTCTCCTCCCCTTCTTATCCCTGAATACATGTGCAACTGCCTCAAAACAAGCTGAAAGAAGTATTTCATCTGTCTAATTATATCACTGTACAAAGGAATTACATGACTAAAATTCATACACTCAGCTGAGCTTTGATTTAACTCTCTTACTAAAGTCTTAGAACTTCAGCATCTTCCATTCCCCTATCTTCCATTAAGGTGCTCTCCTCTGAACTGCTGAAGAGCAGGCAAAAAAACCCCAACAAACCCAAACCAAAACAACTAAAAACTGCCCCAGACATCCAATTCTGTCATTATAACAAAAATGACTTGTTGATAGTTTTGCCATATGGAAATTCAGAAGGTATGCAGATGACTTTCTTACAGAAAGCGGTACTCCTCCAAAAACAAACACCTGGAAACATGGGCATTTCCTCACTTAAGTGACTTCAAAGCCAACATGATTGTACAGTAAAACAGGTTACATGCACTCACCACAGTTACTTTTGATGAGTTCAGAAAGGATACTGTACATGGCATGTCCCATTGGGAAACACTCAGAATCTAAATCATTTGTCTTTTTAAATTTTGGGTTACAAACGATAACAGCATTAGAACTGTTCTCCCTACTAACAAAGGAACTTCTTTTAATTCTGCAGCAAGGAAGAAAATGCAGATGTTGGTGTAAAACATTCTAAATATGTCAAACCTCATCCTCCGAAGCACCTGTTCATCTTTAGACCTTTAGTGGACATTTCAGATACTTGTCAGGTTTTGTTCCAAGTGATTTCTGAGAAAACTCACCCTTCACTTTCACAAAATCCAGACATTTTTTTTCCTGGCTCTTTGAACATGCTTTCACATTTCACTCTCACTGGAATATTTGATAAAATGAACATTAGAACAAGATTGCAGATCCAGCAGCAATAACAGGAGTATCTCATTAATTTATATCCTGAAATAATACTGGATTTATACTTTACACATGGCATCTAATTTAAGAATATCCATACTTTCTATGCTCATTCACAAAACTTTACTACTGAATTCCACAAATGCAGTAAAATTTTTGTCCATGCTCTACAACATAAATCTGTAAACTGTAGAAAAAGGCATCAGTTACATAAAATGAAAAAATAAAGGCCAAACAAATTTGTAATTTATTCTTTTATCTCAGTGACAGAGCACAATGAATTTCCTGGATCTGCTGGATCTCGAGGGAGAATTATTTCTATAACTGGTAATATATCCGTGGGAGAGTTTCAAGAAGTTCTGTAAAACTGACTGTATAATTCTGCATTAAAGTTCCCAAAATTAAATCTGAATTGCTATTGCTGAAAAACTTACTCAGGTGAAAAGCTTTTCTGCTTATAATAACACCCAATCCGTCACAACTAAAACATACAAATAGATTTCATAAGGCCAAATTGCAGTCTCTTTTGGACAAATAAACCCTACCAGTGGCTTGCAAATCAGCCTGCCACATCTTGGTCTTCAGTGAAGCAAAATGAAGTACTGGTAGAGTAGGATAAAGGAGACATCGATAGTATGAATAATTGTTTTGTATTAGAAGTAAAAGTTTCTGATTGCTTCAAAATGATTGCTGAGGAAGAAAACTTTCTGGATAAAAGCACACCTTGTAATGCTTCTGACATGTGGCACCCTGTGATGCTGGGACTCCTCCAGAAGTTAGAGCTAACTTGTTTACCAAAGGTTCACATCTAGATTCTTCACTTTAATAATCAGATATTTTAATTTCTCTCTTCTTGTTCTATAAGATACATCACAATTAAAAGATTCCAAGTCATGACATTTCCAAAGATACAGTGTTTGTAGCATGCACACATTCTTAACCCAAATTCTCCATGGGACACTGAGCTTGTACACACACGACTGTTTTCTAAAGACGTAGGTCTTTGCAACAGGCTCCTGCGTTCCACCATTCTTTTCATAGTTTTGCTGCCACACCTTCTGTCACCTTATTCAAGTCTCACTTTCTGTCCCATGCATCCTTTACATTACTCCTCCAAAACAGGATTTTATGATCTTGAAGAAAGAACCTCTTCAGTTAGTGAGTGATGAGTTAGTTTTAATGATCATTTTTCACAAGAAATTCAAAGAAATCTGTAGAAAGCGCCTTTAACTAAAAAGCCTTCCCATAGCCACACGGATATGTTCTTGTTGCTGAGGTACAAATGCAATTTTGGAGTGCTTGAATCCACTGGATCTTGAGAAGATCTATAAGTTTTCACAACTTATTCAAATTCTTTCAAGGAGTTCCATTATCAGTATTTCTAGAAAGAGAAGATCTGCAGATGGCAGTCATGTCTGCTGAGGCAAAACCTCATAATTGTTCACACACTTGAATGACATGTCTTGCACTAATTCTCTTATCAACACAAAACCATGAGAGCAGATAATGAAGTCCAGTTTCTTAGAAGGTTGCCTCTGACCAGTGCTTTTATAAATCTTTCGCGTGTGTTGATTCTTCAGGGTCCAGCAAGTGGTGAGCTCAACCTGCAGCACTTCCCTCAGTACAGGACTGACACCATCGCTCTCCTCTGTGCAGATGTGACTTTTCAGGCACTCTTGATTAACTTGGTTCAAAAAGACTGCAAGGTTCAAAAGATACTGGGGAACAGATGACAAAGCCGGAACGTAAGCCTTGTTTCTTGGGAGAACAGGCTAAGAAGATAAAGTAGAAGTGAAAGGCTTATTTCTTGTGATGACTGACTGTATAACCATTTTGGGTTTTAATCACCTCACTGGTTTGTATCAATATTCCCATATCTGCCTATGTACTCTGCTTCCCGTACATCACCATAAGTACCTTTACAACAGGATTTTCATTTCCACTGTGAGCTAGTTATATCCCACATTTTCAACTTTTCACCACAACTTTTATTTTCATTCACATACGACAGTCTGGATTCACATTCTCAGTTTCTGGGGGAAAAGACACCCCAACAACTGAATTCACCTTGAATACATCTTTGCTACTCCAAGTCCACTACAATAATGAGAGGCAGAACATTCCTGTGATGCAGCCAAGCAATTTCAGCACTGGTAGAGCTGCATCTGCAACGGTGCTGTGTTAGACTGCTGATTTAGCTTCTTAGCATACTGCCTGAAGCTTAGCAGTGAGCGTGTAAAGCTGACAGAAAAGTGGGAGGTGGTTTAGCCTGGGAAGGTGAGAAACGAAAATACTGACTACGCATCCCTCCACCACGCAGATATACAAACATTTACATGTGGAAAGGCATAATTAAGGTTTTGTGCTCTAAAATAATTCTTTGCTCCACAGTTTACTAGATAGAAAATCTCAGAAGAATGTTCAGCATATAAACAGAACCACAGTTACAGACACATGAATCTGGCAAATGCAAATACCTGAACTACTAAAACAGCAACAAACATTAAAATTCCCAAGAAATATCTGTCCTAGAAGGCTGGAAAGAAAAAAGTGTTATACTTACAACAGACAGTCTTGGATCTCAGGGCTTTCTCTTTCTTTAATTATGAAGACGCAAGTCATCCCAAAATAAAATAAGAAAAAGAAATTAATGTGTTGCACCATCTGAAGGAAAAACCCTGTACTTCCTGAGAAGCCTTCGCAGACCAATCACATTACAGGCCAAAGTTTCCATTGTCATATAGGAAAAATTAGAGCCTTTATGATTTTCTGCAAAAGCTGGAAGTACTGACAAAAGTGTACTTACAGTTAACACAAGTTTAATTTCAAGAAAGCCTTGTTACTTAATTAAGTTTTAAGAGATGATTATGGATTGAAACACAACATCTCAAAGATGCCAGGAAAACCTTGAGTTCTGCATGACTGCAGCTCCTAAGCTTTCAAAAGTTGTAGTTCCCACCAAAAAAAAAAAAAAAAAAAAAAAAAAGAAAACCTCTCCACAAAAGGGAAAACAAACTAACTAAAAGCAGCTCCTCCACCACTTTGAGTAGATTTGGCTAAACCTTAAGGCTAGCCAAATCTCATGAAAGATCATTCATATAATGAAGAACAGGAAAAGTGGCTTTTATCAGCTGAATCCAGAACAGACCACTTTCTGGCAGAATCTAAGGGAAAGAGGAACTTAAATTTCCATTTCAGAACATGGCTAAAACAATCCTGACTCATTTTGAGAACTTTTTGGCAAATAAACACAAACTTGACATTTACAAGAAAGAAACAATACGTATGATCGTTCCACTTGTAAAGCATCTCTCTGTCCAGAGCAGTCCATGGAGTTAAGTGCCATATTTTCAGAATTCAGTGGCATGGAAGAGATAATGCACATGGGTGTCACAATTCAACAGGAAGCAAGACTGACGTAGCAGTTAATTGTTTGAGAAGCCAAAACGCTGTCCTTCCATGGCAGTTAGGAAGTTACCTAAGTCCCAATATCGCCACAGATAGTGGATGGTTTTGTATAAGCTCAGAAGGATTTCATAAACTTAGAATACAGACACAACCTCCCTTGCAGTTATGCTGCTCCAAGTTTTTGTTACTTGCCATTCTGCAGTTCTACAACAAACAGCTGCTAATACCAAGTTTTTCAGACAAGTGCAGAAAACATTAGCAACTGTGAGCTGCTGCTCAAAAAGAATTTCCTTCTGACCCTTTTCAGACAATCAGCTTTGACTGCACTTTTGTTACTGCTAATATCAGAAATGGAGTTTCACCGCTGAAGCTAAGGGGTCCATTTTACTTGTGATCCCTTCTACATCAGGAATTAAGATTCTCACACATTAGGTAAACAACTTATTCTCTGTCCTGGGTCAAGTGTTGCAACAGCTGTTTTTGAGCTGAGACTATGAAAAGTTAGAGTAACTTTTAACAAAGTGTCTAACTTTGAGAAGCCAAAACTCAAAAACTACTGGTTTTAAGGGTTAAAACCTCCCACGTACACTGGGTTAATGTAGTTTTGTAGATACCTCAATACCTGTAAGGGGTATTGCATAAAGTAGTTTTCCACACAATCCAAGTTCACCAGTCATCTAACAGAACAGTTTCATGTGCATAGTTAAGTATTACATAAACATAATTTAGTTGTTCTTAAACATATACACTTCTGAAATACATCTGCTAGATGTCAGCAGCAAGTTTTGGTTGGTTGGTTGGTTTTCTGCATGGTTTGTTTATTTGTTTTTCTCAAAAGAAAAGCTCCACAATTTAAGTCTCTCTGGATCATAAAGATAGGCTGCAGAACATGACAGCATGCTTTTTGAGACCAAACATAAACAATGCGACAGCCAGGTAATTTTCCTCTAACTGAAACATAGCTATGTTAGCATTCCAAGTATCAACACAAAAATGCACGACTGAAATGCTTTTCCAGCATGGTTGATTTTAATGCCATAAGAAAGGGCAGAAAAGTTGGCTGTACATCAGGTATTTTCAACCACAGGTTCTGATGCACAGCAACCAAGGGTAAGAGGTAGAAGAAATTAGAACACTGAAATAGTGAAGACAGAGATTAACAGCTCTTGTTTCTAATGAGCTTGCAGAGTCTTGAATGCAGATTTTTCTCCTTTTGGGACATGGTAGGCATTTCTACCTATCTAACTTCAGATATGAAGGGAGGGCAAGGAACCTTGAATCTTTGACAGAACCAGAAACAATCTTCATCTATGCTCCAAATACAGTTCACAGAAGAGGCAACACTTCTGCTGGTGCCATACCTGCAAAGGGCCATTCAAAAGACATGCAAAAAAAGACATTCCACTCCAGGATTTCCCTTCCAGCAAACTGAGCAATAAAGCTAATGCATATTTACAAAACTAGATTAAAATATATCACATACCACCATATCTCAGGTATATGCAGGTATATTTTATTTGGGGACTGTTCCCTCAAAAGGCCTAGACTTTTACTCAGCTGTCCAAAAAAAAAAAAAAAGGCCAACCAAACTCACCTTTCATGCAGTGTATCCCCCATTACTCTCACAGGCTTGGTTCAACGAAAAGCATTAGTAAGCTTAGTTGTTTTCTAAATATTTTACCATAATGGCTAGAAGTAACATGCAACTGTTTTTCAAAGTATATAATACAAGCCAATTCCAGTTTCCAGAGCCAAGAATTATACACACGTGTATGAATGATATTTTGGCTAAGTCACTTTCCACAACTCCCTGTCCCATCAATACCTGTTCAGCAACAAAACCACAAAACCCACCATTAAGCAACTATACAGAGGTCACATGGCACTCAGTGCACAAAATACACACAGCCTTGTACTGTGATCACCTCAGCCCCTCAAATCTTTTGTCCAGCAGCACTTTTTAAACGGGTTTGGCCTCATGAACTATCAGCAATAGAAAGAAATTAGATGTGTATTCTTATTACTCCAGCTCCAGTTGAAGGATATGGTAACCATCACAGTCATGAACACTGAAGTCAGTGAGGAATACAAACTCTTGGCACAACAAAGAATCAACTCTCAGGGACAGAAACTAAATGAACTCTAAAGAGGTACACTATGTAGAATTAAAATCTTAGCTAATATTCTGTAAATTAAGCATTCAAAGAAAGTCATTGTGCTGACTAGTGATTTGCTTGATATATTTTTAAATTACTTCTATTTGCAGTATGTCACCCAGCCTATTTCTACCCCCTGAAATGAATCACACATCAACCCAAAGAGTTACAAAGCACTGAGTCTGCAAATATACAAATGCAAATACAAATTAAACAACTCAGGACTCACTTTCTTGTAAGAATGTCCACTCGGATTAACACACAAAATTATTTGCCTCCAACACAGAGGAATTTGATGAGGCTTTAGGTATAGGCTAATTCTCTTTTAGTTGGGGAAGTAACAAAATATTCTGGATAAAACTTCCATCCAAATTAAAAAATCTCAGCAGTCTGCCTAAGCAACCAGGAAGAGGCAGGTATATTTACGTTTTGCCCTCCAGCAGTAAATTATTTAGGCACTGTCAGTTTAAACAGCCAGACCAAGTCAGTACAGGAAAAACATCCTAACAATCTCCAACTCATCCAAAGCAATCTTTCTGGAGTCCAAGGAGTACAGCACACTGCAATCAGACTTCCTCAATACAATTAAGAATT